CGCTGGGGCTGGCCCATGGGCCTCGCACTCCAGGGCCCCTAGAAGAGACAGCGGTGGACCCTGGGGTGAGGCCGGGTGGTACACGGCCCCCCACTACGCACTGTCACCCCCCACCCTGCTGCCCCGTGTGCTCCCAAACAGGCCCTCAGCGCAGCAGACGTTGGCTGGGTCAGCCTTCATCCCTCACTGGCCTTTGGGCCTCGGTTTCCCCACCTGACAGCAGAGTAAACGATATCCAGAGCATTAACAATGGCCAGTGCAGATTGAGCCTGCCCCGGCCCACCCAGCCCGTGAAGCTGGGTGATGGCCCACGTGGGCACACTCCAGGGGTTCTCCCAGGGCCTTACATGTTCATGGCGGGCAGGCCCGGGCCGGTGAGAGAGTTGGGTGGGGGCCGCATGCCACCTCCATAGCTCTGGGGAAGCAAAAGGGCTGTGAGTGGCCCAGGTGTGGGGGGAAGGCCCTGAGGCGTACCCCCTCTCCCGGACCCCTGCCCTCACCTGGGGTCCAACGCCGGCCATGCCCCGTGGAGGTGTCACCCTCTGCATCGGGCCCATGCTCGGATGCCCTGAGGTGGGGACAGAAGGAGGGGGGCTCAGGCCGGTAACACCCCCCCGGGTGGACATGGGCTGGATGGGGGTGGTTCTGCACCGTGAGACAGCAGGGAGGAGGCATTCCGAGCCGAGGTCCCGATGAGTGGAGGGGGAGGCAGCAGCTGGAGCTTCCCTACTCACCCTGAGCACGCGGGGAGGGTTCCATGGCGCCAGGGAGGAGGGGCTGGGAGCCGGGGAGGCCCACCGGAGGCTGCGGAGGGGGCGTGGCAGCAGTGAGCGAGGGCACCACCACCCTGGCCCAACTCCTGCCCTCCCCCTCCCCTCATCCCTCTCTCACCTGACTCGGCATCCGCAGGGCGGGCCGGGGGCCCCCTGGGAACCGCGGTGACATGAAGGGCTGGAAGAGGTGGGCCGGGGATCAGCACCTCCCACCGCCCGTTCGCCCCCCCCCACCCCCCCGAAGCTACCCCGTTCCTGCGGCGCCCCGGCCCCCAGCCTGGACAGCCCCCTCTTCCAGGACCAGTCAGCAGACCGCAGCCAGCCAGTGCCCGGCGCGGCGCGTGAGTGCGGTGGGGCCTGGGGCTCGAGTTGCTGGGACGTGCGTGTGGTGAAGGGGCGGGGCGTCACAGGTCCTTACCTGAACGTGAGGCCCCATCATGGGGGCGTTGGGGTTGTGGGGGGGCTGCTGGGAGTCGGGGGGGCCCTAGGAGGACAGAACCAGGTGGGTTGGGAAGAGCGAGGTCCACCGAAGCTTCACTGCTTTCTGTGGCCTTGCTGGGCGTGGCCAGGGAGGGGGGAGGGGGGAGGGAATGCCATGGAGGCGGGAGGGTGGGCCAGTCCTGCACTCCCCCTAAGGCAAGACGGGGTTTGGGGTGAGGGGCTCTACGGAAACAGTCAGGGGCAAGACCCACGGCTCAGAGAGCCATGCTCTAAGGCTCTTAGCAACCTGGCACGCACAGACCAACTGCACAGAGACCCCGCCTGGGACCCAGCTCAAGCGGCCCCTCCCCCGCTGGCTACCCCAAAACCCAGATGCAAAAACCCACGCACTGACCACCCTCCCACCCAATTCCAGCCTGCCAGGGCCTCTCCCCACATGAGACCCCCAACCCCATCAGTGCCCGCACCTGTCACCCTGACATAACCACTCAAGAGTTGCAGAACAGGGGGCACCAGCCCTGGCTGTACCTGGAAGAAGCCGGGTGCCATGGGGCCCGCTGCCATTGCGTCGTTGGGGGCCATGCTCCCCATCACTGGACTAGGGGCCGCTACAGAGCTCTGCAGGGGTGGGGAATACCATGAAAACCAGGTCAGGTCACTTCCTGCTTGAGAGTCCTCTCCTTTCCAAAAGCAGCCCACTCCACTGCACAAGGAACCTGGACCATCTGACCTTCTACCCATGCAGGTGAGGATGTCCGGAGGGTCCTCTAGGTGACGAGCAGCTGCCCCTGTCCCCACCCACGATTAGCAACCCTGACTTGGCCTCCTCCTCAGATGCGCTATGTGGCTCTCAGGATGGGCTTTGCCTCTTTGCTGCACCCAAGACGCTGGAGGTGATCAGGGCCCTGCCAGGCTGAACCCACAGCCCAGGATTCCCAGTTCCTAAGGAGTCAGTCCCAAGCCCGAGGATCTGGGGGTCTGAAAATGCCAACAACCCACGGCTCCAGTGGGCATGTGCCTCATCCATTGGCACAGGCTTGTTCCTTCCATCTGAATCTAACCTCAGACTAGTAGGGGCACAGTCCCCAACTCTAGGCCCATCCTGGTAGGCCGGTGGGGCAGATGAGCTAGACCCCCAGCTCTATCCAAGACACCTAAAAACCAACTGGCAGCTTCAAGATGAACCTCCCTTCCAGAAGGCTCCTCCCTGAAGCTGCTGCATACACCCATCCCCTCCTCCTCCAACAGGGAGGGAAATGAAGAGGAGGACTACTGGGGTGGGGTCTTCAGGCTCCTGACTTCAGATGGAGGAGAGGAGATGACAGGGTGCCAGAGAGGGGAGTTCCCATGTCAGCCAAGGGCGGAGACGCTGGTGGCAGGCCAGAGCTGGCAGGGGGCAGGCTGACAGGCCACTTCCTCTGGTCGGTTCCAAGTCCCAGGCCTGTCTGCCTTTGGGGCCCACAGAGCAGGGAGGAGAAGGGGAAATGGAGGCCTAGTTCACAGGGCAGAGGAGACACATCAAAGGATAGGGAAGGAGGAGGACTCTGCAGGGACTGAGTAGAGAAGAGAGTAGTTCTCTGGGGGCCCCTGGACTCTGGTCTGTCTGGATCATCTGCCCCCACTCCAGGCCTGACAGGACCCAAGAGGAAGGGTCTGGTCTTTGCGGGTCACTGCCGTCCCTGGGGCTAGCACAAGCCATCACACAAGGGATGCTCAGGAATTTGTAGAACTGCAGCCACTTGGGTTCAGAGGAGTTAAGCATTTTGCCCACGGTCACACAGCATTTCCTGCCCTACAGAAGTGGGGAGAGGGCCCCTTGGCTGGGTCAGGGCAGGGCCCCTGGAGACATACCCTTCCGCCTGGGGAATGCAAGCTGCCCCCCTTCCTGTCCCTTCTCAAAGGTCAGCCTCTGAAGGACTCCAGGCCCCAAACTGGGGAGGTATGGGTGGGAGCCTCCCCAGGCCTGTGGTGACTGAAAGCACTCCCAGGGCCCATTGCAAACCTTTTGAAAGCCCAAGAGACCCTAGGAGTGAGGGGGGATAAAGCTTTCAGCCCCCCCCCCAAACCGCCCCCCCCCCCCCCCCTCCACCTCATGCCCTCCCACAGATACAGCCTTACAGCTGAACAGCTATTCTCGAAGGCGCCTGCCTCAGTGGCTGAACAGGGGCACCTCTGAACCTTAGGTCTGTCCACCCCCGCCCCCCCCCCACCTACCCCACAGGGAGGGTGGGAGAGCAGTCCCCCTCCTTTTGAGCCACAACAGGCGCCAGATCATTTCCTGGTCGGGAGGGCGGAGGTGGGGGCAGCTGCTTTCTGGGCTGCGGACCACGAGATGTGGGGGCAGGGAAAAGATGGGGCACCCCTCACCCCCTTGTAGCTTCCCAATTCTAGGCCCAGAAGGGTTAATATGGGGCGGTCCACTCTCCCTGGCGGGTGGCCCAGCTAGACACCCCCCCCCCCCCCACGTCCATCATCCGCCCGGAGACGCCCTGGCCCAACCTGCGTTGCTATGACGACGGGTTGGGCGCGCTAGCGTTTCCTGGAGATGCCGAGGTCGGCAGCAGAGCCGGGAGGGGCGAACTGAGTCCCCACTCGGAGGCCCCCCCCACACACACCGACCACGTAGAGGAGGCAAGCCGGGCGCTAGAGCAGCGGCCGGGCAGGATGTGCGCCCGCAGCAACCCGGGGCCAGGTCGCTACCCACCGCGGGCGGGGTGGGGTGGGGGGGGGGGGTCCCCATCCCCCCACCCACGTCCGCTGTACCCGTGCCATCTCCCCCCACCCCCCACGCCACGCGCGCTCCGCTGCCATGGTAACCGGCGCGCTCCCGGGAAGCGCGTACCCCTCCGTGTGAAGAACCAAGCACTCCGCCCCCCTTGCCCTCCCTGGAGGCGCCCAGAGAGGCCGCTGGAGTCGCGGGCAGAGGCAAAGCCGGGGCGGAGAGGGAAGGGGGGCTGAGCAGGCCGGGAGGGGGCGCCCTCAAGGAGTCAGGCACGCACACAACTCGAGACACCCCTGGAGCCCCAGTGCTGGCAGGAGAGGGACAGGGGGGCAGCACACGAGCAGTGGGACCCAATAGGGACCAGCAGTATGACCCCAGCTCCCAAGCACAGCGTAAGGCGCGTGAGGAGCGTCTTCAGGGACAAGAGGAAGCCTTCCCCCTCTGGGGATGCACTCCCGCCCTACGAAGGCCTGCACTGGGCAGGGGAGGGGATGCGTTATGCGGGGAGGCGGTGCACAACCTTGACCAATTGCAGAGCGAGATGGGGACCGCCACGCCCTGGGAGGCCCGAGGGGGCACAGCGGGGAGGATTGCTCAGGATGCGAGGACGGCTGTCGGGAGTGTGGGCGCACAACGGGGAGGGGGTGGGAGGGGGGAACTCGCCTAGAGCTGCCCGCCCCTGGACGCCAGTTGCGCTGCTGCTTCCCCCTTGAGTGGGCCCGGAGCCCCCAAGCCTTTCCTGGCCAGCCAGAGACCTCTCGGAGAAGCCGGGTGGCCAAGGCCCACACCCAAGGCCAAGAAGATAAAGGCAGGGGCTGCCATCTGCCCATGACAAAATGCCACCAGCCCTTTCATGTCATGCCCTTTCCTCTTCAGACAGGCCTCTGACCCTCACTCAACCCAGAAGGAAACTGAGGCCAAAGAGGTGGAGTCAACAGCCTCAGCCACCAAGCAAAGTTAGGAAGTGTGCCCACTGCTGGGCCTCTGCTGCTCAAGGGTGCACCTGCCAGTTAGCCAACCCCCACCCCCACTCCCGCCTGCACTCAGAAAGGCTGGGGCGGGAGGGGACATGCAGTAGTGGCCCCAACCCTGTCCCCCGCCACACATGTAGACACACACACACAAACTACACATACACAGCTAGGCAGATGGGGAGGCAGGAGCTCCTGGCTCCACGGGGGATTCAGATGATGGAGAAGAGAGGCGGGGCCCGCCTCAGGAAGGTATGGGGGGGCTGTGGGGGCCCTCAGGAGCTGAGCGCAGTGGAAGGACCTCCCCCATCTTGTGAGTATCCCTATACTGAGTAGAGGGAATAGGGACTCCCCAGAAGTGGCCAGATCCCAGATCAATCCCCACAGCCAGACCCACTTGGGCACCCAAGCCAGCGTCAGGCCATACAGGACCCCAAGGCCACAGGCCCAGAAACCTGCCCATGCCCACGAGCCCTGGTCCCAGTCCCCGGGGCAGGGACTCACGTAGTCCTGGAAGGCCTTGGCCTCATTTGAGTGCTCACACGCCTCTCTGCGGTCAGGTGCTGCACAGTACAAGTCCCAGAACACGCTGTGGGCGGCAGGGGGGGGGGGGGACGATGGTTTCCCCACACGTCCCCACCCAGCCCCCCTCCGTGGCCCACCCTGGCCAGCCTCACACGCACCACCACCAGGAATGCAGGAACCCTGGGGGCTCCCCCAGCGTAATGTTCTTCTCCCATCGGATCTGCAGGGGGAAGGCAAGACAGTGAGAGGGCCCTGCCTGACCCCTTCCAACCTGGGGCAGCCCTAGCCCAGCCTGGTCCCTGGGGAATGCTGGGGCAGGGGACCAGCAGCCCAGAGCAAGGGAGCTGGGAGGGGGGCAACTACGTGAGGGGCAGATAAGTGGGCACAGATCGTCAGATGGCCAGGCAGATGCCTGGACACCAGTCCACGGGCCCTGATCCACCCCAGCCCTCAGTTCCCAGGGCCAGCAGAGGGGCACCCCAACCCATCTGGAAAGGAGATGGAGAGGACCCCAGGGTATGGGTGGTAAGGAAGGGCCCAGCTTAGGGGGGGATCTCTGCCTGGCCAGGCTGGCTTACCTCGGACAGAAAGGTCTGGGCTGACTTCTGGGCACCAACGTGCAACAGGTACTCGTATACATAGAGTGCCAACCTGCAGGCAGGCAGAGGGGAGGCTGGCTCAGGCCTGGGGCGAGCCCCACAGTCCCAAGGATCCCTGAGAGAGGCCCTCAGTGAGCCCCTCATGACGCCACTCCCGGCCTCACTCGCTGCCCCCTACTGGTTCCCCAATCACCCACATCTCCCCCACCCTGACAGGTGATGACTTCAGTTGCTCAGACCAGCCAACTCCTACATATCCATCAATACCCAGCCTGCAGGCCCTTCTTCTAGGCAACGCTCTCAGCAGTCCATAACCCCCCACTTGCAAACCAAACTCTGCTCTGTTAAACACCAAGTCCTGGCCCCATCCTGCCAATGCTGAGACCCCAGAACAGCCTTGGTCCCAGGGAGGTTTTGTGCCCAGGAGAAAGGGCTCCCGGATGTCACTCCAGCCTATGCCCTGGGTAGGGTCTCCCAGCCAGTACCCTAGGCCATGTGGCCAGGGCCCAGCACCTAATTCCCTCCCAGCCTTGCCTGCTAGGGGCCCTCTTCCAGGTGTCCCTGGACCCCCGTTCTCTTTCTCAGGATCAGCGCCCATCCACCAGTGGTGGCCATGACCCATCTATACCAGCCCTCCAGGGAGATTCTGGAGAAGTGAGGGTAGCGAGGGGCAGTGGGGCCAGCAGTGCCACCTGGCTGCCACGGCACCTTGTCGAAACACAGTGCCGGGTAACCTTAGACACACCAATCTGGCCACTGCCCACCCCAAGAACAGGCCACCTTCCATCCGGCAGTGTCCTCCACGGACCACATAGGAAGGCCGGACCTTCCACGCCACCTTCCAAGCCTCTCCATCCTCAGCCTCCACGCCCCCTCATCAGTCCTCCACACCAGCAAGCAGAGAAACAACTTCCTGGCCCCTGGGGCCACCCATTTCCCAACCATCCACTCCACGGTGACTGGCCCCTCCCAGTGCTCCCAGGGACCTTACTGCCCGTCCAGGTCCCATGTGGGCTGGGGGGTATAGGGTCCAGATCCAAGACTGGGGACTCCTCAAGGGCTGGCCTGAGCTGGAAGGCCTTCTAGAACGCCTCCCCACTCGGCTGGCCGCCCTTCCCTGGCTGAGGGCCCCATCCTAAAATAACCCTGCTTTGTCTCATGTTCCTGCTCTCTCCCCACCTTCCCAGCCAGGCTTCTTGATCCTCACATACCCGCCCCCCATCAGATCACTCCCCCTTCCTCAGACCTCACAGAGGCAGTTCTGGCCATTCTGTCCTGGCCCCCAGTCCCTGCCCCACCCCATGGGTTCTGTCCTTGGCCTGGATCCTCTTCCTTCATCCAGCACCTCCCTGTGCAATGAACGCAACAGACACCTGTACCTCTGCAAGCTACCTGCTCGTGGGCAGACAGGGACGCAACAATACAAAGGAGACGCTAAGTTATATGGTGGGCCGGAAGGTTGTGCGTGCTAGGGAAGGGCAAAAGGGGGACGTTAAGGGGTTGGGGTGGGCAGCTGTCCCAGGGTGAGGTGGGCCGCTGGCTCACACCACACCAAATGAGCTGACAGCCACCTACAGGGACAGGGCATAGAGGGCTAGAGTTCACGGTGCTCACGCAACTCCAAGCGTGGGTTTTCCTCAAGACTGGCTGCGGATTCCCCCACATCATCGCACCCCTCTCAGCCTTCCTGGCCCCATGGCCCCATGGCCAGGTTTACCTGTCCAATTCACTCCTGTGACTCTTCCTTTCTGGAGGCTTCCTGAGCCTTCAAGGGGCCTGCATCTGCCAGCCCTGTGTCCATTAGTGAAGGAACGAATGTGAAAAGCCAATGGCCTGAAGCAGAGCCAACCAGCGCAGGCCTACCAGCTACCCCACCTTCCAGGTAAGGAGAGGCTGAGAGAGGTCTGGTCAGTCCCTCACCCATTTCGGGGGTTGCTGCAAGGAGCAGGAAAGTCTGGGGTGAGACATCCAGAGACAAGGAAGCAAAATGAGGTGGGGGAATCCAGGTAGATGGGGTAAGGGTAGGGGTAGTGGGGGGCTGCGGTCTTGCCCTGGGGGAATTCTAGCTCAGTAAGCCCCCTGAAGAAATACCCTTGGCTCCCACCACATCCACCAAGGGGTCTACACTGCCAGCCATTGGGTCCTCCTATACCTCCCTTTGCCCTTGACTGTTCAGCAGTGACATGTGACCCAGAATGCAGGTTCAGGAGCCCGCCTCTGCCTGCCCCCCAGGCCCCTGTGATCTGGCTTGGGTGGTCTGGCCTTGACTCACAAAGGTACAAGGGTGCACACACGTGCACGAATAACATCCACCCAACCACAGCCCTGAGATCGCTGCACTTACTGAATTTAGGGGGAAAAGACTTGAGGAAAAAGCTCTCTCTCCTGATTTGGAGCCTTCTTCCTGCCTCCTCTAGCACACGCTTGGCCCAGGCCACTAGCATCTCTTACCTGGATTTCGACAGCCCCCCCCCCCCCCCCGCCCCCTTCCAGGGGCTGCACTCTCCCCAGCCCCTAGTGTCTACACACACACATCCCGTAACACTCCCCCTTCACTGCCCCAACACACATACACTGGCCATCCTCCACCTCAGGGCCTTTACCCAGGGTGTTCACCCACCTCCAACGCTTCCACCTAGAGACCGGTGTAGCTCAAATGTCACCCGTCACAGTCTTTCCTATCACACCTAACACCACCTGCCCCATCCGCTGCCCCCCCCCCCCCATCACCTTATTTATCCCCTTCTGACACATAGGTCTCTGCTCTCTGCCTGCAACTCCTTCTGGAATGTAGCTTCGGAGGGGGCCGGGGGTGGAGGCAGGGACTTGCTCTCTTTCACTCGCTACTGAACTTAAAACAGAGCCCAGCGCATCTTGGGCCCCCAGCTACCCCAAAGGAATGAACAAACCAACACCAGGACTCCCTGTGACTTCGGGGGGGGGGGGAATTAACACAAGTAGTCTGGTAAGCACCCATACAAGTTGGCTGAGTATTTCGATGTTAAGGATTTGGGTGGGGCTTTATCCCCAAAGCAGAGAAACCAGGCAGAGTTTTCAGTTTTTGCAGATTTCTCTTACATGTTGGTACTTTAATTTTTACTACGATGGAGTCTGAGGGAAGAATTGTGAGCTGTTTTGTTTTGGGTGAGAAGTGTTTTTGTTGTTGTTGCTTGTGTGTGCATCGTAAGTTTATTGCCGATACGGGAGAGAGATTCCTTCCATCCCCAAAACGAAACACATGGGCGCCCCGGAGAAATCTAGGAGATTCTTCCCACTCCAGGGAAGGAGTGAGAAGGACGGATGCTGGGGACAAGGCAGGCTTTGCAGTTCCTCAGCCTCCTTATCCTCCCCTCAACAGAGGAGAGCTGCTCCCCACTATTATTTCCTCTCATCCACTCATCCCTGAAGTAATTAAAAAAAAAAAAAAAAAAAAGGCTCCACTATTAAAAAAAAAAAAAGACAAAAAACCCTCAAGTATGGGAGCCAGGGGTCCCGGCTGGGACTTGAGGTTAAAGGTCACCAGTAGAAGAGGGACAGCGAGGGGAGGAGGAACCACCACTGTTTCTGCTGCAGGGCCTCCTTCCTTGCCGCGTCCTGTGGCCGCTGCGGCGGCCTCATCTGCCGGCAACCGCACAGAGCGGACCACCGAGCCCCGGATGGAGCAGTCCTTCACTGATAACGTGTGAGGCTATTTCTCAGGGTCTGTGACACTGACGTCAGTTAGTCTGATGTTGAGATACCGATCCACACGCTGGAGGGCTCCACAGATGCTCAGGTCATTCTTGAGTTCCACGACCACATCCTTGCCCACGAGGGACTTGAAAAAGGAGTGGAAGAGCAAGGTGGTCCAGCCACTGCCGGAGGGAAAGTGAGGGCCGGAACCTCCAGCCTGGGGCCTGACGGCGCGCATGTTGGCGGCGGGGGACGGGGGGTGTGAAAATTTTTGAAGCCTGGACATGGGCTATGTTGTTCAGGGCCCTTCAGAGACCCCAAGCAGGGCTTCTAGTTTGACGGTCACTGACCAAGCCCTGGGCTCGGTCATGGGGAAGGGCCTGGGCTCTGGATCCAAATCCTGGCATCCCCACCCCTAACCAGGTTGGCAAATGACCTGCAGAATGACTGCACTCAGGGGGGCGCTTCTGCGGTAAGAGGGCAGGTGGATGGAAGGAGCGAGTGACCTAGAGGATCTGGCGTGCCAGACCCCAAGTATTCATAGGAAGAAATGCACACGGTGACCTAATAGGATGTTAGAGCCCCACAGGCTACAATGTGGCACCACCACCGTAATCAAGAATTATGGTAGGTAAACGGATGCTCCCCGCATGGTGTCCTCCTCCCCCTTAAAGCCCCTGGACTTGCTGCTGGGGGCTGGGAGATGCCCTCTACCCAGGGGCTTGTATCACTCAACAAAGGGACTCTCCAAGCCACACACTTCCTCCCTCCCCACGGCTGCCTTCAAGGCCAGGCCTTCAGGCATCTCTTGCCAGGGTGGTGACCACCCTCCTCACCATCCGCCTGGCACAGCCTCCACACTTGCCCCTCACAGCCCTTCTCCCACACGGTGGCCAGAGTGACGACGCCCACTCACAAATTCCACCTCTGTCTTCCTCCTCCTCCTGTTCCCTCCCAGACACTACCTCTTCTCAAGTCCTTCCTTGGAGGCTCCCCTGTGTCCAGCGGCTCTGCTTAGCCTCCAAGACTCAGTTCAGGGGCTCCTTTCTTAAGGACCTCTTACTCATCTGCTCTCCAAACAAGGATGCCCACAGCCATACTTGGAAGCCCAGCAAGAAACAGAGCAAACGCCAAGGTGATTCCCGCACCTGCTGAGCTAAGGAACAAACTTCACCTGTGGTCATGTGCCCGGTCTCAAAACCCACCCCAGGAGAAAAAAAAACACAAGGAACCCAGTGACACCAACCATGGTTGTCGTTTATGGAATGATTTAAACCAACCTAGCAGGGCTTCACAATGGCAGAGCCTCTGGAGCCACAGGAGGAGGGATACAAAGGGGACAAAGGGGCCTGCAGCTACCTCCGTACTCTTATTTAAAAAGCCCTAAATCCAATGACCAAATGCAAGTGCTAGTTAGTTCTGGGTGGTAGGTGCCCTCCAGGCTGCCCTGTAGGTTGGGAGTGTTTATTATTGGACGCACCCAGCAGGTATTCAGTCCTTTCTGGGGCAGGCTGTCCCAGACCCAGTGTTGAGATGGGGAGCCAGAGGCGGGCCCAGGACAGGGACCTGAGAGGGAAGAAGGGCAGGAGGAGGCAGGAGGGTGAGCAGGGAGAAAAACATAGTGCCAGGGGCTGAGGACCTGAGCAGTGTAACCCCCCCCCCCCCACACACACACCCCATTTCACAGAGGAGGAAACCGAGGCCCAGACACAGGAAGTGGCTGGGCTGGTGGCTGCCTGCGTGGGGTGCTCCACCTGCAGCCTTTCACCAGTCCTTGTAGTCCTTGTGAGAATCCTACAAGGCCGGTCGTCCTTATTTCAGAAAGGAAGGCTCAGCAACAACCAGCCGGCTTCCCGGGTGCGGTGCCGCCCTCCCCCCTTCCGAGAGCTCTCGCTCTCTCTCTCGTGCCCCAGACGCTGAGACCTCAGCAGATCGCTTCCTCCCCAGGGCCCCCGCAGCCCTACGGATGAAAGAGGGGGTGCGACCATCTGGTGTTTTCCAAACTTTCTTTAGCAGCAGAACCCGATCTCCAAACCAACGCTTACATGGGAGCCCCTACAAGAAACGGACGAACGCAGGGCAGCTCTGGGCACCAAGGGGCCTGGAGAATAGGCACGATGGCACCTTTAGCCTCCGCATGAGGGGTTTTTGTAGATCCCAGTGTTCCCCCCCCACACACACACTGGGAGCCGTGTGGCCTCCCCAGGGGATCCACCCAGCTGCCCACGCGGGGCTGGGGCCAGCACCCCTCAGGCCCTCTCCTCTCTCAAGCTCTTCCTGAGGTGCAGGGGTTCCCCCCTCCCCGACTGAGGTCAGTCTCGTCGGCCGCCGCGGAAACTTCCCTGCAGAATGTGGGAGAAGAGCTCGGCTCGCGACCTCGCGCGCACGCAGGTCTCGACTGTTGGCGGTCTCGCGACCTTCGAGTCCGGCTCGGATCTGTCGCGTCCCTTCGAATCCTGCGCCCTCAAGTCTGGGGCCACGTCGCGACCCCTCGCGCCACTCGGGTCGCTCAAGCCCTCGGGTTTCACGCGCCCCCCTCAAATCTCGCGAACCTCGGGTCCCCAGCACCCCTTCAGCCCTCCCGACCTCTGGGATCTCGCGCACCCCCTCCAGCCACACGACCCCTTGCGTCCCTCGCGCCGCCCGAGTCCCACGCGCCCGTCAAATCTCGCGAACCCCGCAGCTCCCCACGCCCCTTAGATCTAGCGCACTCCCACGAATCTCGCGGCCCCGCGCGCCCCTCGGGTCTCGCGCGCCCCCCTCAAATCTCGCGCCCCTCGGGTCTCGCGCGCCCCCGCAAATCTCGCGACCCCTTCGAGCCGCGCTGGGGCCCCGCACGCCCTGCCCCCGCGCCCACGTGCCCCGCGCGGTGCCCGCCGGCATTGGGGCCCACGGAAGCCTGCGCGGCGGCCGAGTCCCGCCCCCGGCGCCCACGGCCCCGGCCCACCGACTCACTTCTCGCGGGCCTGGCTGTCGGAGGGCACGGCCGAGCCCTTGCCCCCCTTGGCGTACATGCTGCTCCGAGCCGCCGCCGCCGCCGCCGCCGCCGCCTCCGGGGCCCACACCTGTCAGGCGGCACCGCGGGCCGCGCTAGCGGTCGCCATAGCTACCCCGCGCCCTGGGCCTCACAGCCCCGAGCCCCGCGCGGGCACCGCGGGCATCGTCCGCGCGGGGGAGCTCCAGACGGCCAAGGCGGCGGTGGCGGCGGCGGCGGCAGCTCCAGCTTCAGCTCCAGCCACGGGTTTTATTTTCTTCCTCTCTTCCCTCAGCGCGGGCTGTTCCGGGAAGCGCGCGCCCCCTCCTCCCGCCGCGCGCGCCCCCGCCCGCCGCCTCCCTGCCGCCCGCGGGCGCCGCTCTTAAAGGGGCGATGGCGGGCGCGCGGATGGGTCCCGCTGTGGGGACCGTGGGCCGGGCGCGCACGCGCAGTGCCCAACGCAGTGGGGTGGCGGGGGGGGGGGGGGAGCGCGGGGACACACACGCAGGCACGGGTGGGGGCGGCCACCTGGGGACACACAGCAGGATACAGTTGATCACGGCTCCACAGACGGTCTACAAACAGGACCAGCCACCCAAATTGTACACCCAGGAGCACAGCCACACACAGGACCCTACACACACAAATCCACAGAGCTACTGGAACGACGAGTGAGAGTTCCCTAAAGCGACAGGCCGTCACGCTGGGTGTCCTCCCCACAGACATGTCCCCCCACATCCTGAGAGGAACCCGCCACACGTACAGTTCACCCAGGGACACCCCGTCCCACACACGGTAGTATACACAGTGGCCACCAGGACAGCAAAGCACACAGGCCACTGCTCACAGGGACGCACAGGCACACGTCGGCTCCGTTGTGCTACAGCTCCCAACGGGCCGTGGAAAAAACGCGGCTGCTTGTCGGAACTCCTACCCAGGGCTCCACACGTAGCCCTGGGGTCTCACAGTGCCACAGACGACAGCGTCACACGGTCCCGGGGCCTGTGGCCACTCACAGACACACGACGCAGACACATGCAACCCGAAGACCACCACACAGCGCCGCCCCGTAGCCACACCCCGTGTCAATAGCAGTTGCTGGGTGATTGTCGCCTGGGTCATTCCTGCGGCTGCTGCTCAGCCTGGGTATCGGCCGGCTGTAAACGGGGCGCATCCCACTTTTCATTGTCTCCTCTGCAGGAGTCAGGACTGCAGGCGGGGGGGGGGCGGGGGGGCACCCCATTCCCCCTCCAGGGGCCCTTCTCCTCCCTCCAGAGGGTGTGAGATGGGGGCAGACACCGAAGTAAGGACAAGGGTGCCTGCGAGGGGTGGAGGCCTGTGCGCGGGACCTGCTTGCGCCCCGGGGAGGGAGGCAGTCCGGTTGTGTCTCCAGGTCTGGATGTTTCTGTGAATGTCCGCCATAGGGGTTCCCCCCCCCCCCCCCCCCCCCCGCACGACTGCGAGCGTGTGTGTCTGTGTCTGGGTGTGAACCCGCAGTTCCTGTGTGAGTGCACATGTGCATCATGCCTGGAGTTTGGTAGGTATCCAGGGAAAGGCTGCTGTCTGGTCAACTGGCCCTGGCTCTGCAGCAGCGGTTGTGTGTCCTTAGCGGTTGTGTGAGGCCGAGTGACGCCCTTAGGCTGTGTGCACAAGTGTGTGTGTTTGCGTGTGCCTCCGCGCGGAGGTTGATTACTGGCTCCCCGGGACCTGTGTTGTGTGGTTGTGTGCTCAGGCTTCCTGCGTCGTGTGTGTGTGTGTGTGTGTGTGTGTGTGTGTGTGTCTTGATGGGAGCAACCGCCCCCGCCCCTGCCAGCTGACCCCCTGTTATACCTCCCTCTTAGAGGCCGCGCTCCCCAGTAGGGATCCCCACCCCTCAAGCCTGGCGGTCGGGAAGTCGGGAGCCGCTGGGGTTCCAGACAGGCGGAGAGGAACGGAAGGGCCAGGCAGGCCCCAGCCCCGCCTCCATCCCGAGGGGCCCCGCCGGGGTTGCAGGGGGACGCCAGCCCTTCCCACTTCCTGTCCAGCCGGTCGTCCCCTCCCCCAGCTTCCTCTCCCGCGGGGCCCCCGAGGCCGGGGCAGGCGTAGAGGAGGGGCCTGCGTTGCGAGCTAATGGGGGCGCGGCCGGCAAGCTTCTATAGGGGCCTCGAGCTGGCGGCTGCCCAGCGCCCCGGAGGCCACCGGCGGACGTGGGAGCCAAGGGCACCCTCGTCGTAATACCCGCTCCCACCACCGGTCTCCGGCGCCTACTTCCAACGAGGCAGAGAGAAAGTGGCTCCCCCACGTCGCACAGCGTATATGTGACCACTGTGACACTCCGGCCGCGAGGACGCTCCTCCTGCCATCCCAGGCACCCCCTATTTATCTCCCAGCGCTCGGTGGCTCCCCGGGATTCTGTGTGTCCTGCGCGGGTCCCTCGGCCTTTCTGAGCCACGGTTCCTTGAGTCGTGATCTCCAGCCTCCCCACAAACATTTATTGAGCATCTGCTGTGCGCAGGGCTCTTGTGGGGGCTCTGGGGACCCAGCCAGCACGCTTTGCTACTGCTTGTGGAACTGAG